TTCTGGCTTTTGACTGATTCGTTAAGTCGACTTAAGTAAGTGTATTCTAATCGTCAAAATCATTTTCACGCAAACACCCTGTCCATTCGTTTACACGGTTACACATTTTATTGCACTTTAAATGTCGTATTGTTTTCTCGGTTGTTGTTCTCGAGAATTTCTTAATTTTTGTGATTTTGCGTTATCCATGTTACTGCCAGTGTTAGCACTTACAAGGCAATGTCCTTTACCGACTGATCATGCACCGCGTTATGTTTCAGCTGTAGGTCGTAACGGCACTTGGCTACCACGTGACAGCCACCAGTCGCGCGCTGATTGAGTATACCGCAAGGAGGTCCGCCCCAAATCTGAATCGAAACGGTGACCTTATGTTTTAAATCCAGACGCACCATGCGTAAGTTCCTGTTCGCCCGAGAGAAGCGAACTGCAAAAGAGCGGACCTAAGTTCATAAAATCTTACGTCATATTGTGTACATCGTTATCTTTTACTAATAGTTATGTATATATATTTATAATCGTGATCCAACATAGTTCTGTTTCTCTAAGGTAGCTTGTGGATGAATAAGCTCACTAGATTGTCGATTGGAAGAAGCGTGCACGGGGGGGCGATAAGCGCATAGTTTTTTATGTGGTAATCGGTCGCTTACCTAAAATATCGCCATCATTGTGTGACAGCGAATCCCGATGTCACCTTACATTTTCCATTTTTCCATTTATTCTGTTTTTTGACCTGCGTCTATTGAACTCGATTTGAAAGAATTGTACCTGCTTCCAGGCGATCAACTTCATGATTTTGAGTATGCTGACGATATAAAGCTATTATGTACGAAGCATAAGTATGTCAGTAAGAAGTTGACAAATTAGTGCTGGCGGGCAATCATTTCGGAAAGCCCGTTACATTCCCGAAATGCAAGGTTTCCCTTCCGGATTTGCAGAGTCCAGCTTCTATGTTAACTATAAATAGGTATGATAAAGGTTCTTCAGAAACTCAGCTGCTTGAATTTCCATGTCAAATCATTTAGAACAGAGTATTATGTTCCAGACCACATTGTCGAATCTCGATACGTTTTCGAAAATCGTCGGCACCAAATATGCCGTTGTGGCATCGGCCTTATCCTGAAGGGTGCAGTCATCATTGCAGTCGTCGGTTCAGCCATCCTGAACATTAGCGTAATCTGTTTCATCACATTGAGTGACCTAAAACGGCCTTCACCGCTGAGCTCTTAACCGATAAGAAGGCAGCGTTAAGAATTTCGAAGTACACAAACTAATTTTTGTCACACGGAAGCGGGTGAGTAACTCTACACCGTATTACTCACTGCCGTCCTGAGTGATTATCCGTATGTTTTACATAGCAACGGCCCAACTCACACGACTAGCATTTTTGATCTGACCGAAATAAGAGGAGAGCGAACTCAGCAAATAGAAGATTGCACTCACACCGACGCATTTGATTGGATACACAATGTGATGGGATTGTGCAAGCTGTAGAACGGTACTTATGTATATAGCAAAGCTGGTGACTGGCTTATCGAAAGCGAACAGAGCAGTTGTTTGGACGCCTATGTATATTTCATCTACACGCTGATTAGTTTATATTTGTGTACGCCGGAGCGGGTTTGCTTAGCTCATTCAAAAAATAATCTCATGAACGCAGAATCAACCATAGCTATGGAAATGACCAAGTTATTGCCATCGTTGTTCCAACACTTTTGTTATCCTGTCATTTTTGCTGAACTTGCTTTGTCGGGTACACCATTTGTTCCTGAAGGACCGAATTTCGCTGCATGGTGTCAGAGAAGACCATGCCAATATCGCCAAATAGTTTTAAATTGGTGATTGGAGTGTAGCCAGCCGTGCAAATGCCTGCACCGTAGAAGTGTACAGTGCAGTGATCGGTGAATACTGAAGTGCGTATGCGTCGACTTCTGCGTACTTGAGCGTCTGAATGATCAACCGTTTGTGTGCCTCAGGTATAGTTTTAACATTCAATCGGAGGTGAAGCACACTGCGTCCTGGCTAGGAGGATGTATGGAAAGCACTAAAACGCAGCTGAACTGGAAACAGTCGTCGGAAAATTCGGCGATTTCCCTACGGGCCAGAATAAGTAGACCTGAAAGCGCTATTATTTTCTATTGAAGCAAGCGTCCCAACAAAGTACTTGTGGACTATGTTGCACAGTTGAAGATCCTGGCTCGTTGCTCTAATATTTACAATTATATGGCTGACCGTCTTACTCAGGAGCGGATGGTGGCTGCTATCAATGAAGAAAAATTAACCAAGTGGCTGTTGCGAATACGGTTGTTATCGCTCAGATAATATATTGACATATGCCTCAATGAAGTGTCAGCTACACGCCACATCCAGCAACTGAGGTATCCGTCTGAGCTACTTTTCCTGTCCACTTTATCTTAAAAAATCGCAAAACCTGTAACCAGGATACAAACAATTTGCAAAATATGCGCCATGCAATAAATATCCATTGTGTGGTCGAACTTGCGGCAAATGTGGCAGACGAAGGCATTTCGCTTGACGCTACTACTCCCAGAGTAAATCCATTAACTAGTGGCGCAAAACACGCCGACCCTGAAAATTCAACCAGTAACTTATAGAAGATGGTACCAAAAAGGTGCGTCTAGGCAAGTGTATTAATTGGCGACGAAATTATATGCTTCCATTTAGGA